TACTGATTGATGGCTGAATTGATTGATTGATGTACTGATTGATTGATATACTGATTGATTGGTGTACTGTGTATTTCTCTCAGATTTTCTCTCCTCCCACCGTTGTCCGGCAGATGTATACTGAGTACTTGTATCGGGAGTCTGCTCGATGAGGCGCTTCAGTCTGGAGGAGACCAAACAGCTGGAGACAGTGCTTCAAGTCCTTTTGGGCCTGGGAAGTGACATTTAGACACGCCCCTTTTCTACTTGACCAATCAGACAGCACACTGTCACAAGTAGATTATTTGATCTTTAGTAATTGCTGTAACATTTAACGTTACTTTGAGATTAAAGATTAACAATAAAGTCTGCATGTTTCAGCCGACTTCATCTTTTGTTCAGTGTGCAGGTACGAGTCCCCCCCTTCATGAGCCTGCTTCGCTCAGGGCACCGAAGCCCCCGCCTTCAGCTGCTGCCCGTAACACCTGACCCGTAGGGCCCCTCCTGCAGGAGGAGGCCCTACGGGTCAGGTGAACCCATGTACTGTAGCTGATTGGGTTTTAGCCTGACCGGGCCCCCAGGCCTGGTCCAGGTGGGGCCTTGGTAACCCATGTTCAGGTGAGGTGGCCGTCCAGACCAGGACCTGGGGTCAGTCACACACAAAGTCCTCCACAATAATTCAGAGTCAGACTGTTGATAAAATTACTGCCACAATAAGAGCTTTTCTAGCAGACTTTAATGAGAAAATAAAATCTAATCCTGACATCTGAGTTTTTATTTTATAACAAAAACTTATTTACAGCAAGTCAAGTTCAGGAACTGAAAACTGATCAATAAAAACTGCTTCTTTCAGAAATCAAAAGTTAATTCTCAGCATAAATAAACTTCTACAGAGTCAAAGGTTAAGAAGAAATCAAAAAATACGTTTTGACAGTTTTTAGTTTTTTCATTTTGGCATCAGTGGGCTTCCGTACAGCTCGGACGTTTTCATGTTCCACCTCAAACTGGAACAACTAAAAACCTGAAGCTTCAGCCCTTTATGCAAACATGCCGTTTGAACTTTGACCCCTTCAGGCAGAACCTGATCCGAGTTCAGCTCCCAGAACTTTGCTCCGTTCGTTCAGAACCTTCCGGCGAACAGCTCGGCGTCTCGTCTCCTCCTCCATAACTCGTTTACTTCTTTAAGTGTCTCTGCGCAGAGTTCTATCAGCTGAGCGGCGAGGGGGTTCCACTTCCTGCTTTGGTTCTGAAGGAGGTCCAGTTTCAAAGCTTTGCTCTCTGAAAAAACACCTGCAGGAAGAACAGAGGCGTGAACGAACAGCGCCGCTCAGAGGTCAGAGGTCAAGGAACACACTCACCTTCATGTACGTTTTCAGGACTTTAACGTCGGGCTGCTCCAGAACCTGACACAGTTCCTGTTGGACAGAACCAGAACATGAAGACGAAACAGAACCTTCACTTTGGACCCGAGGAACATCTGAGGATCTGAGGTTACCTGTGAGATCTCAGGAGTCACCTGCAGAGACGGCAGGTACTCCTGCTGCAGGAACTGGACCAACTCTGGGCCCTGGAACACACACAAACATCAAACAACGTTCTCCTGAAGAACACACGAGGTAAAACAAAGGTTCTCCCGCAGAACACAGGAGATGAAACAAAGGTTCTCCCGCAGAACACAGGAGAGAAGAACTTACCCGTTTGAGATGAATCATTTTCAGCGTCAGCGCACATTCTGACAGCGTCTGTGGAACGACAAGTCCAGTTCTGAGGTTCTGAACAAACAAACAGAACCCTTCTAGAACGTGATCCGGTGCAGAACTCACCAGGACCGTCTGAGCGTCCGAGAGGTCAAAGGTCGGTTTGAGCGGAGCCAGGAAGCAGGCCGGGACGATGTGTTTGTAGATGAAGTCGGGGAAGCCCACCATGCCGTCTTTGCCTCCTGCGGGTCGGATCAGAACCAGAACAGTTTCAACCAACAGACGGGAACTAAAGTTCTGGTTCTGGTGGTGCCACTCACCCCACAGCTCCACCAGCTTCGACAGGATGATGAAGCAGGTCTTCTGAGCGACCGGGTCAGGGAAGTCCACGGCGCCCTGGATGATGGTGAACAGAACCCGCTCGATGTTCTCCGCTCCTGGAAGGAACACAGCCGCGGTCACATGACATGCGAGCGGGTCAACCTGTGGGCGGAGCCGACCCAGAACCGCGGGGCTTGTGCTCACCCTGGTTGGCCAGCACCTCGTTCATGCCGCTCCCTGCGACGGCCTGGATGAAGCTGAAGTAGCTCCTCCGCAGCATCTGCTTCTCCAGCGCCGCCGTCTGGTCGTTGTCCTCAGCGGGCCGAGCCAGAACCTCGAAGATGGCCAGGACCAGCGGCATGAAGATCTGCTGCAAGAAAGGGGAGACCTGCCGCTGCCGTGGCAACAGGAGGAGCAGCGGGTGGTTAGGAGGCGGGCCGGCTTTGGGTTCTGGTTCTGGGGGGGGGGGTCGGTTACCTTGAACTTGGCGGTGATCTGGCTGATGAGGGGGATGAACTCCTGCAGGTCTTTGGCCTCGCAGTCCTTCAGCATGTGCTCCGAGGCGGCGGGGACGAAGGGCAGAACCTCCTCCTCCAGGCAGATGATCATCCGGTGCAGGAAGGAGCGCACGGCGCTGCGCAGCGCCCCCCGCTGGACGGGGCAGCTCAGCGCCGGCAGGAAGTTCTGCAGACAGTCCCGGTAGACGTCGGTGCAGCCGCACTGCTTCACCGTCTGCTTGTTGCTGAACGCCTTGCTGGTCCGGCTGCAGAACCACACACAGTTCGGACCTGAGCTGCTTCGGTTCTGCACCCGCTTCGTCGGGTTTTGTTCGCGGATCAGAACCGGAGTCTCACCTGGCGAAGCCCACGGCGTGGCTCAGACAGTCTGCGAGCGCGGCCTGCCGCTCCTCCTCCGTCTCCTGCAGCAGTTTGGCGAGGAGCAGGCGGAAGGCGTCCATCAGCGGCGCCAGGAGGCTCCTCATCAACGTCTGCTTCCGCTCCAGCGGACTCTCCCCGCTCACGATCAGAACTCCAGCCGCCTCGAACATGAAGAGCTGGTCGTCACTGGTCAGCAGCGCCAGGAGGCCGTTCTCCTGCAGGGAGGAGCAGGGTGAGGAGCAGCAGGGTGAGGAGCAGCAGGGTGAGGAGGAG